AATCTATATATTGCAACTTTGGTCTCTGCATCCATTTCCTCACATAGGCAAATTAGGCCTCTATAGTGACACCCCAGTTCAATCTCACATCAGAAGTGAGTTAATCTATAAGGCTAGATGGGTATACTACTCTAAACTTGAGTTAAACATTTCAGGGCATGTGATATTTGATCTATCAAGTTAATAGGTCATATCCCAACAGACAGGTTTGGATAAATGACAAATGATGGCCTAGTATTGGGCATGGTTAGGGAGCCCAAATAGAAAAGGATTATCAACCATGGATGGGGTGGATGTGTATCATGGCATGAAGTCATCAAACGTAGAGAGGATTTGAGTTGGGTTTATATGGCTAGTTGGAAATAATACTATTAACATGGGCTTAAGCATTTTGGATCACATGAATCTAGGCCAATTAAGTCAATCAGTCAACCACTCTAGGGTTAAAGTAGGTCATGACACACACACACTATAGAGTTAAAGCAGGTCATGACACAGACACACACACTAATATCAAACAATCCATAACACAAAGAATTTAAGTTGATAGAGCAAACAAATAAAACTTATGCACGACATATACTTTCAATCTTAAATAAAGCATTGATTTTCAAAATTGTCATGAGCAAAATCAATCTCAATCGAACATCGACTTCAAAACCAATCAGCTAAGGGTTTTTCTTTTATTTTATCAGCTAGGGCATAATTGTGCCATGAATAATAATTGTTCAGGAGACTGTTGAGATGGGTGATAGGGTGACTGCAAAAGATAAAAAAATAAATGTAATTACTAGCTATGATTGAGAATAAACCAAGAAAAAATCTTCTAAGATGGTATGAATGTGTTATAAGAATACTTATAGATATTATAGTTGGATGAGGTAAGACAATTACTATTAGTAGACTGAGAGATAGACGGAGACCTAAAACAATTTACTAGAATCAATAAATAAAGATTTTGATGCTCCTGAATTTATTGATTATATAAAACAAGCTCAATAACATGAAAGAATACGATCCATGTAGTCGAATCCAAATGGTTGGCATGTTGTTATTGTTGTTGTCAGGACCATGATTTTATCATGAAATCAGTAAGCCGGATAATTTATAGTTGTTTATTAATTTTTTAAGTTCGCTCCATCCAAGAAAATGACACCTTAATGTAACGTACAGTTACACAAATTCAAATCTTCCATCCAGAAAATAGCAAAGAACTTCCAAGTTATGGCACTGCAAGCCTACAACCCACACCCCATAGGCATCTTATGTCACGTTAACACCTCTTCCGGGATGACCAGACAAGGTCAAGACACAGCAAGAGAAACAGGAAATGCCACAGTTCCCAAAAATCTCTGACGCGTATCGTTTCCTGTACCCGTGATGTCAAATAATCGCATGACCAACTAAAATCCGCTAAAGAAGGCAACTAAATGACACCATCAAGAAGAATAACAACCAAGACATCAAGCATTAACTAAAAAGAGATCCTGTTTGCTCAAATTACTCACCCCTGGGGAGAGATCAAACCCAATTGCGTTCGTTCCGACCCCAGACAACAGCATCAACGGATGATTCCTCTTCGGTGCCTGCAGATCCCCACCCGATCTAAAGTTCAACAAAGTGCCGAAAACAAATCAAAATTCCAATTCGATAAACGGATCGCTAAGAGTCGGGACCTCAGGAGGCGGCCGGTATCGCCAGAGAGCGAGCCTCCACTCGGTGCCAGGAACCGGCGCGTAGTGGAGCTCATCAGCGGTGCAAATCTCCGGCTTCTCTCCGTCCTTCACGGAAGGAGGGGCAGCGATGGAGACGGAGAGAGGCCGCTGTGACGGGCCAGCGCGGGCAGCCACGGGGCGGAGAAAGGCCGCCGGCTGCCATTCCCTCCGTCCCCCGCCGCCGCCGAACGGAGGGGTGGAGTTGTGGGAAGAGAAGGCCGCGACCGCCGCGGCGAGGGCGGTGCGGACGTCGCCGTGGTGGAGAACAAACATCGCAAACTGGTTAGAGCGATCCGAGGAGCTCTCTGATTTTACTCCCGTATAATAGCTTTTCTTTCCCTTCTCATTAATGTCAATTTTTTTACACGTCATCCATTTTTCTACCTGTCCCGTGATTCGAAGACACGCTGATTCTCCATCGGGCCCCACTTTGTGCGTCAATTAAAAGTCGGATAAATTTCAGGGAAACGTTGGATCGGTATGAAATGAGACGGTTCTTTTTCTTTCGTTTGCTGCACGATTGGGGAAGGTAGCGAGAGGAACGAACAAATGCAGACCACGCTGTGTGCGAGACGCGAAGACAAGGATGGGTGTGAGAATACATTGAAGAAGCGTGGAGGAGTTGGGAACTCAGCTATGGGTTATTGTCAATAAGACTAAACCATTTATTATAGTCTTCTTTTTCTTTAGATTTTATATCAAACATTAATTTTTGATGTAACATATTTTAGATACATGTCACGAGAGCATCCACGATAGCACAGCCAACCAGGCCCCATCACCTCAACCTCCTTTCTATGCTCGGGCTAGGTCATCGGGTATGACCCCACCCAAGGAACCTAGGTCAGCGCCATCAAGATCAGAGCTGACCCCGAGAAATCGGGACAGTACCGTCAAGTACAAAAGCTGACCCTAGAAACTCGGGACGATGCTGTCAAGTACAAAAGCTGACCCCGAAAACTCGGGACAGCATCGTCAAGTACAAAGCCCACCCTGAGAACTCGGGATGATGCCGCCAAGTACAAAACCGTCTCGATGTAGACATCGACTGCATAGAAGGTATGAGCTAGCGGCCTGCGGGTCAGTAGTCATTAAACAAACCATATACGATCAACCTTCATATGCAGGTATAAAAGCCAACTACCTGGCTATGCCAAGAGAGGTTTTTTTCCCGAACAACTTGGGAGAGGACTCTGAGTGAGAACTCCACTAACTTGACCTTCGGAGCGGTCAGGTCAGGAAACATCCCCCCGACTTCGACCTGTGTGTAGGGCCCGACGACAAGGAAGCAAACGATGACCTGCTCCGCTTGACCCGACCCAACGACCAGCCCAAAGTCTTCGTGGGCGCCTCCTTGGACATTTGGAGCCGAACCAAGCCGTGCTGACTCCCTGGCCACGGTGTAAAGTTCACTAACATTTTGGCGCTAGAAGGAGGGCTCGATGTCGTAAGGACGCCCCCAACAGAGTCACCTTGGAGAATGTTCCGAAGAAGAGCCACCCCCACCTCACTCCACCTTCAGGCTAGGGGAACAATTTCCACCCCCTCCGAGCCTGGAAGGGAATGCCACTACTGCAACTCCGAGCCGCTACTAGCGGCTATTCAGTGATCCCGGGCTGACGCCTCCCGGAACCGCCATGGGACGACCTCCTATCTCGCCCAAGGCCTTCCACAACCTCACACACCAAGTCTAAACCTTAGCAGGGATGATGCAGGCCATCATTCACCTCATTCCCTAGTTCATGCAGCAACCGATGCCATTCCAACCACCGCTTCAGTCGTGGGACCCACCGACCCTCGCTCCCAAACCACAAGCACCATCCCCAGCCGCTCAGCAACCCCAAGTAGAAGGCACCAATCTGCCGCACGAGGGGGGTTCGGAAAACCCGAGGCCGACCCCGGAACACAGATACCCGAGCACCAGACAAACCGATCAACAAAACAAAAATACACCCCGAGAAGATCCTTAATCCTCGGGGAGACCTACACTATTATCGAAGGGGACCTCATCCGGCATCTCTACATTGTCATCTGTAGGGAGGATGACGAAAGGATCTTCCTCAACCCTCAAGTCAAGAAATTGAGCTTGAAACCGAGCTAGGGTAACACGTTACCTGTACTCATAGCTGACCTATCCTAACCGCTACAGCCCGAGCAGAAAGTCATGCGATTCTTTATATTATTCTATTAGTTTCTTGTGCTTCTCTGGAGTTGCTCGGGTCTCCTCAGCGAGAGCCCCCCTGACCTTCGCCGCCTCTGCTCGAGCCTTGGGGCCCCAAGGTTCGTGCTATGTCCAATAGCTCGCTCTCCATAGAGCAAACCCGCATGCGCGACTTCTTCAATAGGCGTTGACTCTTCGGAAGATGTTACTCAAGCTTGCCCTTGACTTCGCTGTGCTATTGTTCGACATCCTCAAGCTGCAACCTCAGACACTCGACCTTCTTCCCTAACTCGAGAGCATGTTGCTCAGCCGTAATAATAGCCTCCGGGGCAATCCCTTTCTTCAGCTCCTCAACCGGACCACGAAGCTCAGCAATCTTGTCACCCATACTGCTAATCACTTGACCTGCGTCCTGCACCCAGTCAAGCAACGTGGTGTGATAATGTTGGCTCTGTGTTAGTGAACAAATGTGTCGTGGCTGGTGAGTCAGCACGGCCTAGTCCACAGGTCGATGTCGGGAATCTTCTGTTGGCTAAGCTGGATGCCGAGGTCGATCAGGCCCTCACGATGGGGTGTTGATCAGCGTTCTTTGGTGTGTCGATCCGGGCGTCATGTATGCTGAGCTGCGTCTCTCCTTCTCCGGGGTGGTTGGCAGCTCGTCTTTGTGAGGTGGTCGTACCCTCGGGAAGGAGTGCGGGTTAGCGTTGGTCAGGATCCGGACCGATTGGCTACTCTCCTTCGTGCACTGGATGACGATTCTCAAGTGGTTGGCAGCTCGTCTTTGTGAGTTGACTACGTTTTCCTGCAAAAATGGCCCTCGTCGAGATCACTCGACGAGGCCCCTTCGACGAGCAAGTCAGTGGAGTGATCAATTGATTTTTGCCACCCTTTTTTCCCCTTTGGCCAAATGCCGGCCAAAGGTCTTTATATTACTGTACGTGGGTCGGTCGTATATGGGTTGGCGTGGTAGACATGCCGAGTAGTGCCTTAGTACGGATTCTAACTTAACGTGCCTTGGGGCTCCTGAGGCGTGACGTGCCGAGCAGTGCCTTAGTACGGATTTTGACTTGACATATCTTGGGGCCAAAATATGCCATATCACTCTGCATCGCAAAAACGAAAGATAATGATCAACTGGAGGAGTCGGGGCAAGCCTTCCCGTTCTATAGCCTCGATAACAAAGCAATACACCTACCTATACCAAGGACTTGGCGGACTTATCAATCAGCACCTCGGAAGGCAAGCAATACACATGCTTTGCGATTGCAGGGATAAGGGCACCTCAGAGATAAGCACCATAGGAAGCATCGTCCGCCCAAATCCGATCGTCGAGCGTCAGCCCCGACCAGCGCGGCTCAAGGGGAGTAGTTCCCTCCCCGTCAGGCAAGTCCCCCATGAAGAGCGATTGGAAGGGCTCGACGTTGGCCCGTGCCCGAGTACCACAGAGATCTCGAGTCCACGCAGATCTCGTCGATTCCCCTCGAGGATCGGCATGGGCTTTGCCCCGAGCACTCCCTCCGGCCGCTCTGCTCGAAGAAGCCTCGCGAAGACGCTTCCCGGCCTCGCCAGACGCCTCCTGCGTTGCGGTCGGCGCAGGTCTCTTGCGGGTCAAGACCTTAGACTTCTTGCATGGCTGTTCGGGCCCCAACCCCGAAGGTCACTCCTGACACCCCGAGGCCGGCAGGTCCAGCTCTGAAGCCCGAGGGGCTGAGGAAGCACTAGGCATCCCTCTCAACTCCTTCAAATTCACCATTCCTGCCCAAGAAAGATCCGGGTCATTCAACAAAAGACAGTTATGAGTAAAATAGGAAGACGGGCCGGACCATACCTCGAGGAGTCGGACTAAGCCCCGCTTCGACCAGTCACTCCTTGATTATGTCCCTAATTGCTCGGGAAGAAGAAAGGACCTGCTTCAAGCGACCGAGCTGCTCATGCTCATCATTAGACAAGCCCGGAAGAGAATTATCGATCGATCGAGATGACCATCGAAGGTCGAAGCCCCAGCCTCGACTATAGCTGATAAAAAAAATATCAACTCTTCCACCCCTTATTGTTGGAAGGAGCCCCACTCACCCGAAAACCTCCTCTGGATGACAGCCAGTAGTCGCCTACCCCTTTGGAAAGGCGGAAGCACGAGAAGAAGAGTGAGCGGGTCGGGATAACCCCCGCCCCTCGACACTCCCCTAAGAAAGCTACCAGATAGTGTCACGAGTTCAGTGCCATCTGCAATGGCAAGATCCACCATCGAGCAAGGCAGGCCTCGATCACAAGATGTAGGGGGAACCAAAGTCCCACCCGTTGGTGTCAACAAATTTAAGCTGCGGCCTCGGGGCCAACACGGTTGAGTTCAGGTCCGAATGGACAGGGATCTCCCGGGATTACCCTTGAGAGTGCTGAGGTAGCTTAGTGCACTGATCCGGTCTCGACGGGGCAACCGTTTCCTCCAGGAGGGAACTCCTCACCTGGGCGTGTAGTGGAGTGGCGCTCCGTCTTCGTCCCTGTATGCAGGTCGGGTTGGGAGAGCTCGACCCGACCCCTCCGACGGTCAAGTCAGTCGATAATCTTACGAGGTTTTCTCCCCCTCTTTTTTTTCTCCCCTCCTCGTTCCGAACGTGAGGGTTTTTATAGGGAAGGTCATCGTTGTTGATGTGCCCGCTTGTAAGGAGTAGGACCGTACCTAGGAAGGCGTTTGACTCTGGCGTTGGGGTTGCGTGAAGGACCAGGCTCTTGCAGGATGGCGACGTGCTTCGGTCGGCGTTCTGGTCTGTCTCGACCCAGCGCTGTCAGGTCAAACCGAGGCAGATGACCCATGTGTCTCCTCGGTTCGCGTGACATAGGAGACATCACCTAGGAGCAGGCGACGTCAATTTGCGTCCCATCATTATTATTACCCTCATCATTCTCCCCCCCCGAAGGAAGCCATGCGTCGGTCGTTGCTGGGGGGGCGGGGGTCCGGGGCGTGGCTTCTGCTTTCAGTTGTCGTTCCCGTCGGTTCACCCTCGAGTTAGTGCTAGGGAGGTTTCCAGAGCATCGTGATGGTCGGTTGCTGGCTCGTTCATCCTGTATGACGTGTGACCGAGGGGTATGACTTGGGCAAGGCGGAAGACTGGGACGAGCGGATGGTGCCGAGGTGTAGGAATCATGTGGTTTGTGATCGAGATTTGCGGCTCGAGCGAGTAGGTCACGCAGAGATGGACTCGGGCAGAATGCAGTCGAGGGTCACAGCTTAGGCGGGCAAGCCGCTAGAGGTGGACTCGGGCAGGTTGTGGCCGAGGGACGCGGCTCAAGCGGGAAGGTCGCGCAGAGGTGGGACTCAGGCAGACTACAAACAAAGGACACAGCTCAGGCGGGCAGGCCACGCAGAGGTGGACTCGGGCAGGCTGCGACCGAGGGGCATGGCTCAGGCGGGCAGGCCGCATAGAGGTGGACTCGGACAGGCTGCGGTTGAGGGACATGACTCAAGCGGGCAAGCCGCGTAGAGGTGGACTCGGGCAAAATGTAACCGAGGGACACGGCTCAAGCGGGCAGGCCGCGCAGAGGTGGACTCGGGCAGGCTGCGACCGAGGGGCACGGCTCGGGCGGGCAGGCCACGCAGAGGTGGACTCGGACGGGCTGCGACCGAGGGACACGGCTCAGGCGGGCAGGCCGCGCACAGGTGGACTCGGGCATACTACAATCGAGGGACATAGCTCAGGTGGGCAGGCCGTGCAGAGGTGGACTCGGGCAGGCTGCGACCGAGGGGCACAGCTTAAGCGGGCAGGCCGCGCAGAGGTGGACTCGGATAGGCTGCGACCGAGGGGCACGGCTCAAGCAGGCAGGCCGCGCAGAGGTGGACTCGGACAGGCTACGGCCGAGGGACACGGCTCAGGCGGGCAGG